AATAATGGCTTATGTTGTCCTATGACACTAAATTTTTTCATTTGCTTGCTCCAGGTTAAGTTTGCAATCCAGTACATGCGAAAATCTATCCAGAAAAAGGCGAAGTTTGACATAGCAGACCTGAACTCCATCAAGGTTTTAGTCTGTAGATAATTTACTTTTCTATGCTGATTGTGTAACTCATGTTTCTTTTTTTTGCATGGTGGAGCTTTTTCCTGATTTTTTTGCATTAATCTCTTTTTATAAACATTTGCTTTAATTTATTTTATAAGTGTTTGCTTTAATTTATTTCTTCTTTGATTGATTGGTGAAACCATTAAATGGAATCTTAGGCTTTGCTTGGTAAGGATGATAGAAAAATGGAAAGATTCAAAATTAGTAGAGTAGAAAAGTGGAAAGATAGAAATCATGTTTTTTCCTTCCATTGGTGTGCTTGCTAAGAAAGATGGTAGAGTGGATGGAGAAAATAATTTTCTTTCAATCCATTTAATGGTAAAGTTGAAAAATGAAAGGAAAGAACATGAAAATTACATTATTTTACCATTATATCCTTTGTTAAGTGTAGATAAAAAGATAAAATCTTAAAAATGGATAATGTTGTAAATTTTTAACACTTGATTCACGCCTATCCCATTTTCTCTGCTCTAATATTTCCAAGGAATGATTTGGTTTTCTGAATGAGGATGAAAAATAACCATCTTTCCTATTTTCTTTAGTCACATTTTTCTCTCTTACCAAGCACTAATGAAAATAATTTTCGTCCGACTTCTTCACCCACCCCCTTCCATCCCCCTACTTTTTCTTCCTGCTGACCAAAGCCCTTTAATTCTCTTGAGACGTTTGTTTATGTTCGATTTGATGTAACCAATTATTTGGTTGCGGTAATACCATTTGATTTTGCCTTAGTTATTGTCTGACCAACTACTATGTGAACCTGAAAGATCAATCATATTGTTTGCTATTCAATCCAATCATATAACTAATACAAATAAATAGATAAAAATCCAACCTTCCTGTCTTCTAGTCAATTCATCTTGGCCAACAAGCCAACAAGCTGAGTTCAATATAGAGCAGTAAGATGTGATGATAAAAAGAACTTGTGTTATATTATCTCTCTCTGACATGTATATGTGAACATATACATGCTCGGATTCTTGTGCATGGCTATGCACAAAAAATCAGATTTGGAGGTATCTTGGCTGATTTAGCATCTTTAGCTGTAAATTAAGGGGATTGTTATCTATCTCTGCAAATAGACAAAATGCCAGAGTAGTGATCAGCAGATAGCTTTTGCAAATTCCTAAAACCATGCATGGAATTGCTACGGGATGTTTTGCTACAATATAGGAAATACATGTAAAACATGGGCTATGGGTGGAGGCAAGTGTAACATACTTATGAAATTGGAAATTGAATAATACAAGGATCTCACTGTTCAGTGCTTTTTTTTTTTTAGTTATTATTATTCTTTACTGTTATACATACAAGTGAATTACATTTCCACTTGCCTTCATTTTGATCTAGGTAGCAAAATCTTGCTTTGTTCCTGTGCTGTTTGGCCATGCTGTTGCTGATGATTTTATACATCCTCATCACTCAGATCGCATATTTGAAGCTTATGTGGTAAGTTTCTTCTTTTTTAGTGATAGAATTTGATAAGGAATTCTGAAGGTATGGAATCCTATGTTGGAAAAAACATGGTAATCCTATATATCTATATTATCAATATATATATATATATAGTCAGTTCCTCTCCCTTTCAATTAAACTTTTTGGGATGATTAGATCTTCCAGTTAATGGTTTTTGAATTATCTTTCTAATTATTTGTCCTACTTGCTAGTTCTGTATTTTATCTCCATGGCCTGTGATTTGGGAAAAAGTACGAAGTTTTTTGTTCAAGAAAGAAAAATTATGCAGTTTATATTGGAAGAATCTTATAACATAAATGGTTGCATCCATTTTCATTAGCTTGATTCTTCTAAATTTTGTTGTGCATTATTAACATGGTTTTTCATTATCTGCATTTATAAAGGATAGGTGATAAACAGGATGCTTGAATTTCTTTCAGTTTTCTAACCATTCTTGCATTTCAGGCTATGCCTTGTATATTGACACACACCTTTTGCAGGGTGATAAGAATATTATCAAATTTGAGGGAGATCACAACTCTCCTCGCCCTCAATTTTACTTTGATTCCATAAATATCTTTTTTCACAATGTCCTGCAACCTCCTGAGGATGAGGTGGGGGCAACTCTTTATGATTCAATACATGATTACTTTGGTAAGGTAAGTTGAGCTCTAAAAATATCTTTGGTGGTCTTAGTTTTATTGGAAGTGCCCTATGTCGTATCCAAAATCCTTTGCTAATTTTTAATTGATTTACCTTCAGGGTAGTTGGGTCATCCCTGAAGTAGGTTTGGTCCCAGAGTCTTCAACTGCATCTAAAGGCATGACTAATGTACCTTGTATTTTGTAACTTAAATGCTAAGTTTTAGCACACGGCCAGACCTATTAATGGTATTGTCATACACATTGTCTTAATGGTTATTTTTTATTACAGAACCAGCGACTAGCAGCACAGCAGATGCCATTGAACAAATTCGCTCTAAGAGACCTATGAGTCGCACAGAGGCCAGTTTTGGTTGCTTTTTCTTTTTTTTTTCCTGTTTCTCAAGAATGAGTTGTAAAGTTATTTCTTCATTCATATTCAAATTCACTGCATTTCAAGGGATTACTATACGCATATGAAAATCTGGAAAATTGGATGAACAACTATGTCTTCTGCTTTGTATTTGAAATAAACATATGTACATAGGAAAAAAGATATGGGAAAAGAAAAGCAAAGCAATATTTATGAATTCAAAATCCTTTTAAACGGTTTTCTCCTTTCATTATTGTTTATGGTTTATTTATCTACTTTTAAAAAAATTCATGTCTAATATTTGCATCTTTGATTATGCTCAGGTTCCTTCTGATATCCCATCTAAAGAAAATCACCCTGGATGTCAGGTATATTTTTCATTTTTAAAACTTTGCTTCATCACTTCAACTGGATATATGATGTGCAATGCATAGGAAAAAATCCAAAGTTTTACAAATGGATATTGCATCCTATGAAAAAATGCCACACAATGCAAGGGCATCAGCACCTAGCCCATTTTATGTCAGCTTATTATGTAATTCACATTGATTAATACATTTGACATGTGAAATAACATGCTTGCTAAATGTCATATAATACCGATTGACATTAAAAGTTGTCAGTGTGATATCACCATAGGACAGAACTTAAATATGTAGCTCTGTTGATAGAGCATAATATTCGATTATGTATATAGCAGCTTGTAGTTAGTCTTTGTGCTATCTTAAAGATGCGTCACGACTCTGTTCTTTATTTACTGGTTAATCACTGTGGTTTTGTGTGCATCTGTATTGATGAAAAGCTAAAAAGATTAACAAATAAAGTTGTGAGATGAATACAAAAGACAACTTGAAGTGGAAAGTGTCATAAGGATTAGAAATAAATGGGCTTAGGATGGGGGAGGGAGGAAGATAAAGGCATCACTGACACTAAATGGTGTTTGCTGCAGGATAAAGATACTGTCGATGATAATGGTCCGTCATCATCCAATATGATAAGCTTTGAATTATCCAATGGTCATCCATTTGGACCACATGTGCCAACAACAATGGATGACGATCAGTATGTGGAATATCAACTGGATGACTTGACAGGTTTTCCATGTAATGTGGAGGAGGAAGAAAGGGTGAGTTGAAACTTTCATCTTCCTTCGATGTCTAGGCACATTCTTGGCTATCTAAATAACTCGTAATCCTTTATCTATATTAACTTGTTATATTCAGATGCTTATGGAAGCCATAATTGAGTCCTTAAAGGACCTGGAAACGCCACAGCCTCAGACAGAAAAGCAACTCAAGGCTTGTGCTGGTTCTTCAGAGTCTTCACAGAAAGATGAAATAAATAGCAGTGATACCTCTTCCACCACAGAAAGGTGCAGTTCCTTGCCCCCGGAGTCCACTTCTACTCCAGTGGAGCATCATCCGGCGCCCTTTGAGGCAGAATCCACCTTAGTAATCAATAGCTCCAGTGTCGCCCTGGAGCATGCATCTCCTGATATTAGTGTGTCATCTGTAGGACCTTCAATTGATACGCCTTCATCAATCCTGGAATCAGGGAGCACGGGTACCTCTTCCCGAAGTGATACCTTAGCAAGCTTCCAAAGTTCATCTGATGCTGACATGTCAGCTAGTACAAAAGCCACTGTAACAGTTGTACGGAACCCTTCTAATAACATCATGGATGGTTTGATGCGTCGTTGGGATCTCAACTTCTTCCGAAACAGTCGATGAAAGTTAAGCTAAATCATGTTTGAACAGCCTGGTGATTGTATTATTTTGTAACTAAGATAGCGTAGGAATTGTAGCTTTGTAAGATGTTCAACAAAAAGGAAAGGCAACAAGAAAGAAAAAGAGAATGGAAAAAAGAAAGGCTTGTCATGTGTTAAGGCATTTGATTATAGTGGAATTGGCTTTCATTATCTATTGCTTTTATCTGGGAAAAGATGTAATGATTTTTTGCCCAATCAGGGAACCTGTCTGTTAATACCATTATAAATACATCGTTATTTTGCTCGTTTGGTACGCCCGAGTGTTGTTGCAAGTCGCCAAACCTTTTTTTTTTTCCAAAAGGAGATAAGTAGTTTATTTATGTATGTTGAGATTTGAATTTTAAATTTATGTGTTATCTTTTAAAGACGGTTATATGAAATAATTGAATTAAATTTTAGGTTCAAAACTCTCTTTTTTAGGGGCAGATGCTGGGCAAATTGGTAGGCAAATATGCAATCATGTAACGCTATTCATAGCCCCACACGAACACCTGATACGCAGAAAGCGGTCTTTACTCTTCAGTCTTATGGTTGAAATCTATGACCACTAACTGCATGCCTTAAATAAGGTAATAGTTAAATATAAACAATGAAATCACTGAGTAGTAAAAGGTTCATATTGTAAAGGATACAATTTGGATTAGGATACAATTCGGAAAGGATGCAACCAAATGACAGGTAATCAAGACTTGTCATGACTAAAGGAGTCGATCAAACTGCTTGTAAATCAACTGAACCATGATTAAACATATGCTCAACAAATCATCCCATGCATAAATCCTCCTCTCTAACAACTTATGCAGATCTTCCCATTTGTAAAACAAAACATAAAACAGTTGTGACACATGGCTTCCAAAGAGGATATGAACCCCCCCTATCATACAAAGTACTAATATATATAGACTTCAGCCTGTGTGTGGTAAGCATTTCTTCAAGCTTTTCCTACTTCATTGATAATTGATTACAATAACTTGTAACAATTTTTTTTTAGAAAAAAATAATAATAATAACTTATAACATTGATTTGCTTAGAGAAAAAGAATTTGCTTTAGCTGTTATGAATGCAAATTCAGAAGACCGAATCTTCAAACACTTGAACTGCTGCATATATTACCAAATTTTAATAGTGGGGATGCCTCATTTTTGTACAATTTACCTATCCTTCAGCAGCTTCAATGCGGTTTCAACCAGTGAATGAATTGTAGTGCTGTGCCGGCTAAGCCCAACAGTGCCAGAGAATATGTTGAAGCTCTCTAGCTCTGCTGTGGTCTCTAACACACCCTCCAGCTCTTTCTCCATCCCCATATCCTTGAAAATGTACACATTCTTTACATTGTCATGCATCATCCAAATTGCCAGCTCTATGGTGAACCTCCTCATTCTTGGGACCTTAGCCGATGGATGGCTGTACTTTTGAAGAATCTGGACCAATGCTTTAGCTAATTCCTCCTCCTTAATTCCAGCTCTGTCAAGCATGATGCTTGATTCTTCAGAAGTCATATGTTTGAACACTAGTGCTGCTAGGCCAACCATTACTTCTTGCAACTTGTTCTCTTCTGACATAATTGCCTTGAGCACCTACCACAATGATAAAATGTTACGTAGGAGGAATCTACCATATACAATAGTTTTCTTCTACATTGGAAGTAAAAACTTACTGTTGGCGCTGCAGCTATGACACCCTTTAACTGGTAGAAGCATTCTTCTGCACTGTAGGTGCACAAGTTTCTTAGAATTCTTGCAGCATTCACACGAAGTAATGGAACCTCTAATGCTTGGACAAGCGTTTCCAGCGTTTGCAATCTCAAGATGCGGTGGCAATTGGTTCTACTTTCTAAGGCCAACATGGCTACCGCTTCTCCTGCAGCTCGTCTTACATGATTCTGGTGCTCTGGCATCTCCTGGTTGAGAAAGATATTGAACAATTCCTTGAGTACCCCGCCAGTGCCACCGATCCTTTCTGTTGCTTCCTCTTCCAGTGACAGATTGGTGAGAATTTCTATGCTTAGTTTTTGCAGCAATGGATGTTTCTTTCCATGTCTTAGAATATCTCTAATGTTGCTGATTGTGAAAACTACCTCTGAGATTTCTTTTCTGAGATGTTTTCCCGGGGCACCAGTCGTGCTTGCCAGCATTTTCACCACTTGAAGAGATCGTTTAACTGTTAGAATCTGAGATGGAGCAACATTTTCATCCCTCAACAACTTTTCTCCAGCATGTGTAAAATCTATGATTTTAGGTAAGAGGCCCCTTGTGTTTCCAATCTTTCCGCAGTTGTCATGATCACAAGCGAGCTTTTTCAGAATAAGAAGTCCTAAATGATTGAATGTCCAGAAACTGTAATTTGCATGATCAAGAATGAGGTTCTTTTCACCAACTTCATCTGCTCCGTCACCAGAACTTCTATTCGTTTGAAGCAGGGATGATATTGATTCCATTGCACCTGGTATACCAGCTACACGTAGGCAGTTTTGCTTCTTACCAGCAAGTTTTGACAGTATCTCCGCAGCTGATTTCCTGATCTCTTCTTCTTGAGGGTCTTTCCAGTTCAACATCTCAACTAATCTTTCAACCACTGATAAATTTATCCCAATCTTCTGCAACGTGTCATCAGAGTACCTCTCACTAATGGCAAACTGGCGAAGAATTCTAGCTCCAATGAGCTGTTCATCAGAGGAATTTGAAGCCAATAGATCCATAGCAAAGGTAGCAATATCCATTTTCAAGCCATCAAAAATGCTTCCATTAACACATCTTGAATAAGCATCATAGAAGAACCTTTTGATGGAAACCATACCTGAAGGTCCAAACTCGCACTCCTTATTTACTTCTTCCAAAAGTTTACAAAATTTGACTTTCCACTCCCAGTAGGCTTTCTCCATCAGAAACAACAGAGCTTCTGCCAAGGCCAAGGCATAGAAAATATTCAGAGCAGATTGCCTGTTCCTTTTATCAGTATCTCCCTTCTGTACCTCCCCATAGTTATGCTTGATGAGCTTCATGGACGAAAGTACTACACAAGTTGTTGCGGATAAAAGCTGGAGCCAATACAGGACTTTGCTTATGTTTCTTGAAAGGAAAACCCATTGAACATAAGGTAGAAGAGGAACATCTGAACTTATCCATGTCCGAGTTGGGGTTCTTGTATGATTCCATCTTCCAAATTGTGAATCATCAACCTTTGTTATTTCTCTAGTATTTTGACTTTGCTTCCTTCTCAAGGAAAGTGGATAGAGGATTGCTTTCACAGTTCTAATGAGGATGTGCGAGCTTGATCTAAGTGCTCGGAAACTGTTGATACCAGCATCCGTAATCGACCAGGTAGCTTGGTGTTGCCATTCAAGCTCATGACTTCTGCTGAATATTCGAGCCCCTTCAATTAACAAAATAATGGTGATAAACCAGAAGTCAGTTTTATCTAAAGTGATAGCAAAACCACCTAGAAGAACTACTGTTGCCCAGATAAACCCCAGAGTTCCAAGGCCAGTAGCTGACTTCTCAAAGATTGAAAGCCTGAGAGCAAAGAGTGTTAATTTCTTTTCTGGTGCTCTAACCACAGATGCAGAAGAGACAGATTCTGCATTACTTTCTCTATTCTCGGGAATGCTCAGAGGTTCAAAATTAGTGTTTGAACCACAGGTCTCACTTAGCTTCCGAGGCTCATTAATCTGCAAACGAACACTTCCATCATCTTCCGAAGAACTTCGACGATCCATGTTCCAGGACGAAACCAGCCCTGTAGGAAAACTAGATGATAAAAGACTGGCTTGTAATGGAAGAGTACGTGATATTCCAAGGTTTGAAGTTGTCTTTGTCATGAGTTGTGAAATGGCAGAACGAAAGGGTGGCGATTATAAAAGAACAAAGGGAAATGACCTTAGCATGCACGTTTGTTTCGTGGAAATGTAGAGGAACGAGTAACGTTAAGTCTCTTGTCTTTCTGTCATATTTCCTGGGAAGTTTTTGCCTTGGATTGCTGTCACTTGCTCATCTTTTTATTACTTGGAGGCAAAGGGTTTTATCCTCCCAAGTCTTTTTGTCTTCTGTTCATTAGTTTCTTGACAAAGCATCCAAAACCAAAAAAGCCTTTTTGTTTTTCCTTTAATCAAAAGTGAAAATCACTTTTTTATTTCTGGTTCACCCCTTTCTCTGCCTCTTTGCTTTATGTGAACCAATCCCATTTGAGATGCAACCAAGACAAATGTCTCAACCAGTAGCTTGCTTGGTCTATCCCATATCCTTTGATCTGCCCTACAATTCATTATTTCTTGGAAGCATTGACTTTTTATCCAAGTAGCTGTTCAGAAATGAAAATAATATGTTCATCCAGCTTTTAAACTAATCTTATTTTTCCTAATCTTTCTTTCTTGAAATCTAGTTGGAATATTTATCAAAGCAAGGATACTTTCTGAATAAAGATAATCTATATTCCAGAGAATATACTACTGTCAACTTAAAATTATGATTAATTAAAAAAATTGTATTTGAATTTTGTACATGTTTATCTCTTATAATTATTCATGTCAATCCTAAATATATAATAGTGTGATAAGAAAGATATGAAAAAATATATATATATATATATATATAAATGATACAATTTAAAATTAACAAAAAAATTTGGCAAAATAAAAAAAAAAATGTATCTCATATTTAATATGTTGATAATTTTTATATTTTACACAATACCAAATAAATACAATATGAATATATGAATTATCAAACTTATCAACAATAGTTCAAGCAATAAAATTTCAATAGTTTTTTCACGTTTAAGGATTATAGCTTATTTTCTTGATTCTCAATTTGATTTCTAGTTTCTTATTATCATTTAGTAACTAAAACTTATTTACTGTGTGATTGTGACAATTTGGTCGGTCGTAGCTTGCAGGGATTGGTTGCAGAAATAGTTTTATTGTGTCAAGTTAAAGGGTGTAATGGGACCCAACGCCTCGCTTCTAATCCCTTTAAATGCACGTATGCATTAGCATTACTCTTCCATGATCTGGCATAATCTTTGACAAAGAATTATTGAACTGAATTTCTTGTTTCAAGTGTGTGAATGTTTTGGGCGAATTAAACAATTGACGTCTTATTGTTATTATCTCAATCTTTGTCATTCCTTTTGCGTATGGCCATGATGATCGGCAGATTTATTTATTTGGATTTATTTATTGTCTTCCAACTGTTTCGAAGTCTCGTAGCTTTCGCTTTTTGGTATTCAAGTCATGGTTTTGCATAAAACCAAACTAGCAAAGATAGCGCGGATTATAATTCCTGAACCAGTCATTGACGGCAATTCTTGGTGTTCAGTGGAACTTTGGCCCAGAATGGAAACAATTAAACAACACATATGTCCCCGAAAGATATTAGTAGCATGTTGGAAAAACTCAATGCCTGATTCAGATGAAAAACAAAACTTCAATCATAAATAACTGCCATTCAATAGAAAGGAGACATTTTAGAGGAGTGAGTAACTACCACTCCAAAATCCTCTAAGAGGCCAACGGAAGAGGGTGGGATAGTTGGTAAAATTCAAATATTTAGCTTAAAAGCCTTTAATTTCAGTCTCGTTGCCAATAATTCTTTTTGGTGAATAATTTATAAATCTAATGTAAATTCTCTCTCAGATCTACAATCTATTTTGATCCGAGATTGAGGAAACCTCTTACCTTAAGTTTCTTTTTCCTTTTTTTAAATCCTCTTAAGAGATTTAGACAAAAGTAAGAGGACAATAAAGACAAAGTATAACCAAAAGGCTAATTGCACGCATACAACGAGAGATTAGTACAAGCTCCATTGCCGTCCTGTCCTGTGTTGCTGCAAAGAATTGTCAAGAGGTAATTTCCTACAATACTAAAGGGCACAACTTGTGAAACTTCTTAGGCAAAAGCTAAGAAACTTGATGACATCTCATAGTTTAAGAAAATTTGACCTGCCACAATAACTGCTAAGGAGCTGCAGAATAGATCAATGAGTTGGAAGCTAAAAGTTGTGAGCATAAAGGGAACATCTCAAATGATACTGAACCAAATGAGCTTTTGAATAACAAAAGGTTGAGATAGTTGAAGGTTGAAAAGGAATTCCAGTGTTTAGAGACAAGGAACAGAGAACTGCAGAAAATGGTATTACCGTTGGCAAGAGGTAAATTACAAAAATTGTAAACAGGCAATTTGCATAAAAATGGTATGGAAATGGAAGAAGCACAGGACTCAATTAACCATGCCAACAAGAAGTGTGAACAAGGAAGAACATAACAGTCTTTTTATCAACAATCTGGATAAGTTTTTCTCAACGGAAAAGTTTGCTACTTTTATTCCCATTGATGATGAGATGCTAGTTTGGACAAGATTTAAAAGAGCATAAAAAGGAATATTTGTTTGTCACCAATGTTGAAGTCCAAATCACCAAAATCTAAATGCAGTACTTCAACCATGGGATCTCTGGCACGTGGAAACATTGCTTACACCTTGTATGTTCAAGAAAACTTCCAATCCACTAAATCAAAAATCAACAATTCAGTCCAACTGCGGTCTTTTAATTCAGTCCAAGTACAGTCTTATGTCTCAGGACTCAAGCCTGAGGTAGAAAATGGGCAGGGTGAAAGTTCAGGAGCATTCTTCATTGATCCAAAGTGACAAAACAATTCAGGAAATCAAGATGCATACAGGAGATAACATTTGTGTTGACATCACCGTTCCCTCATCTAAACACCACTAATTTGGGGCCATTCAGAATGAATGTGATAAGCAACCATATGAGAATATGGTAGAACACATGATAATCAACTACTTTTATTTTTGCTGCTGAGTGCAAGAAACAAGTAGTTTTTTACTTTAGCAAGTGGAAAAGGGATGTGAAAATTGCATTGTTGATACAATCACTGGAAATACTTTTCAAATAAGGAAAAAGATTAAAAGCTGACCAAGGCAAGCATTTCATGGAGAGAAAAACCAACCCAGGCAACTGACAACACAAGTAGGTGAAAGGAAATCAGGATGTAGACTGGCTTCAGTTTGAGTTATTGTGCAATTCTAACAAGGGTAGGGTCAAGTGGAAAGGGTACAAAAATCAAGGGTCTTGTTGTCCTTGTTGATAGGACACCGATACGTCATATGAAGTTGGGATTGCAAAGGAGCATCTTCCTAGTCTTGCAGAGTTGATTATCTAATTCTCATCTTTCTTTATTGTTTGGAGTTCTTGTGCTTGGCATTCTGATGCTTTTTAGTTGTTTTTTCTTCACTGGTGTACTAATGACTTTTGCTGATTTCTTCATGAAACCTTCTTGATTCATTACCAGATAAAAAAGGGGAAATGAAAGAAAGAAAGAAAGAAAACAGCCAGAAGACAAGCAGAAGCAATTTACAGAAAGCTCCATAACCCTAAACTGTGGAATCCAAAGGGTTAAGATTAAAGTGAACACTCACTAAGATAGATTGAATTTGATTGACTTGAAATACTTGATTCAATAACCTACACCATTTTATGTTTCAAAAATGTGCTGCCTTTAGAAAGTTGTACCCATTAATACATGATTAAGCTGATAGAAAATAAATTGAGGAAAAGTATTAAGAAATAGACACAGCAGATTCATTTAAAGATTGACGGGTACATCAATCAACTTTTTTCTTTTTCCAAATAAAATTTTAAAGACACATTCAGTGAATGCAAAGCAATTCAAGTCCACTAAGAAATTCACCCCATAAACAGCCATGTAAAGCCAACTCTTCATACTAAATAAACCTTCTAAAACCTTGTATTTGAACTTTTAAATCAATGCTGCTACAAAGATATTCTTAATCCAGAAGAGGACAGCCAAATATAACTCCGACACAATTGAAGTATGGTGTTTATAAAATGAAAAAGGTCAAGTTTTGTTCCCACTTGAGCAGCAGTATTAGGACCCTGCAAATACCAATGTTATCACTAGAGGAGCTTGGTTTATCCACCACAGTATTCACTGACCTTGATTATCTAAATTACACATGTGATTATCACAAAAGAACATCCCTCCAACATTTTCAAAAGATAAACCCTACCTCAGCAAGAGCACACTTAAGAACTAAGCAGTTCAGAAATCCAAAAAGGAGAAAAATGGGAAAATAAAACCATAAAAGAGCAAGTACACTAATATCAACTAATTTACAACATAACATATGAAAAGTTCTGGTTAAGCACTTAAAAACCCAGATAAATCAAGTTAGCAAATACAAATAGGGCACTTTTTCCCTTAGCATAAACTTCAGATGGAACTGTGATAACAAGGTTTCCAAGGGTACGTTAAGCGGAATGCTAAAACTAAAACTAAAACTTTAGACAGTTTTCTTCCAGATGTAACTACGATGAAACCAAATTATCAATTGCTCTCTGTGGCAATGCTATTAAATTTATAGTATTCATCATATGAAAACAAGCATATGAGATAAAATAAGTCCTAATGAGTAGCTCTAGCCTAAAATGCAAATCCTTACAACGTCATAAGCTCATGACCCAAGACCTGCTTAAATGCATGAACATCTTGCACCCCAACAATTTTGATTTCAGCATGAACTTTGAAAAACCGAAATAATCCCTAATACGATATCATCATGAAACAATTAACAACTCTTTCATTCAAATTAACAGTTCCTAATAACACAAAATTCGACAAGAAACCAAAAACTACCTCAAAAAACCAAACTGAAGAACCCTCCACGAGCAAAATCTCAAATGAATGGCCTTCTCTGCCTGACCTTAGCCTTCTCAGCATCAATGATAGAACTCACCAAATTCACAGCCTCCTCAAGCTTCCCTTGAGCATTAACAACAACATAATCAAATCTCCTGACAAACTTTACCTCTTCTCTAGCAGTAGCAATCCTGACAAGCAATTCCTCCTTACTCTCAGTCTTCCTCTCAATCAGCCTCTCCACAAGTGCCAACTCACTCTCAGCCACCAAAAATATAAAGACACCAGAATCCCCAAGAATCTTCCTCAATGTTTCAGCCCCTTGAATATCCACTCTCAACACAATATCACAGCCTTTTCCAATAAAATCTATTATTTGCTTCTTAGGTATTCCTTTGTAATCACCATAAACTAAAGCATACTCCAAAAGCTCATCTTTTTCAACCATTGATAAAAACTCTTCCTTTGACACAAAATAGTAATCTTTGCCATTAACTTCACCAGGCCTCATATCTCTACTCGTAGCAGTAACAACAAAATGAAGATTTTCTCTAACTTCTCTTAGTCTTTTGATAACTGCATCTTTGCCTACCCCACTTGGACCACTTATAACAATGATTAAAGGATTTGGGGTGGGGCAAATAGAGTCAGAGCTAAAAGAAGAGCCTAGAGAAGACTCCAAAGCATGAAGTAACTCTGGTTTTGATGCTTTGTCAAGGGAAGGAAAGGAATGGAAATTTTGGGTACCAGCCATTTTGATGGTTGAAGTGAAAAAGAAGCCTCTGGGAAGAGTTTGGGGTTTTTTGGGTAGAAGAATTGAAACGGGTTTGGGATGAAAGAGAGTTGTACAGAATCTCCGAAACATGAGGGAATTTGGTTTAGTTGAGATCCAAGAGACGGTAGATGAGAAAATCAAAAACAGGTTTTTGTTGCTACTCTATTCGGCTGTTTTGTGGTTTGGACTTTGGGCTAGTTTGGGCGTTTCAGGGATTTGGTCCGCTTGACCGAGTTTCGGGGTTTTTTTTTTATTTTTTTTTATTTTTTCTTTCCCTGAGACTGTTGAATGAGGATTGCAAATGTGTTTGGTTTAAACAAGATTTATGATTAGTTTAACATTGATACTGAAAAGTACTTTTTTGCGTTTTAAATTTGTTTTTATCTGATTTTAGTGTTAAATAATAGAAATATATTTTTTATTTAAAAATTTAGTTTATAAACTCAAATAAAAAAATTAAAGAAATGCTTTTGCCATCTATGTTAATTTTTTCAATAAAATAAACCTATTATTCCCATATATTTAAATTTTTATTATTCTATGTATTTTTTAGATATTTTAATTTATTATATCACTTTTTTATAATAATACTTCAACAATAACAAATTAAGTCTTATATTTTATAACTTTAAAATCAGTTGTATGAAAGGCCAAAAAAATCATATTAAGTCATAGTTTTAAATCTTCTTGCACTACTTATTTCCATTAAAAATGATATTTTCATCTATTTTCTTATCTCTCATATCATTTTTTATTATTTACATGTACGTCTTTTGTAATCTATCTTTAGAGTTTAGTCTTTTCTAAATTTAAAAGCTCATTTCTCCTAATTAGTGTATAGATAGACTTACATTTCACATGTCCACACCATTTTCAATGGCTTTCTTTCATTTTTTTCCCAATTCGAACTACCTTTAATTTTTCTCAAATCTCTTCATTTTTAATTTTATCTCTTCTAATCTTATCACACATCCATCTAAGTATTATCATCTCAACTAGCTTATTTTTTCTCATGTTATTTCTTAATAGCCCAACAGTCAATCCCATATAAAAATGCAAGCCTTACAATTATTTTATATAACTTTGCCTTTAACTTTAAAGACATGTTGCAACTATACAACACACATAAGCACTTTGCCACTTTATTCATCCTATTTTGAATCCTATGATTTATATTGCTTTCTATCCTAATATCATTTTGAATAATTAATCCCAAACATAAAAAATGACTCTTCTTTGATACTACTTCACCATCAAACTTAATCACACTAGCACTTATTTCTCTAACACTATTAAATTTATATTTCATATATTCAATTTTAAATTTACTCAATTAAAGCCTTGAAACTCCACCATATTCTTCTATAATTCTAATTTTGCATTAAGATCATTATTAGTTTCAACAACTAAGACTACATCATCAATAAATAACATGCACCATTGCACCTTATCTTGGATATGTCTAATGAGCTCATCCAAAACTAATGCAAACAGAAATGGACTTAGTGTTGAACCTTGATGCAATCCTAAAATGATAAAAAGCTATTAGTCAAGCTCCTAAACGTCTTCACATTCGTTACAACATCTTAATACATATCTTTAACTATGTTAATATACTTTAAACGAACTATTTTCTTAATTAAGACCTATCAAAACACTTTTCAGAGAACTCTATCATATACTTTTTTTAAATCGATAAATATGATATCTTTTTTTCTCATCCGAAAATTTTACAATAAAAGCCTCAATAAGTGAATTTCTTTTATTGCATAGCATCATAGCATAAGCCCAGATTGATTTTCAGAAATAGTAATCTCATATCGTAACTTACATTCAACTACTTTCTCCTAAAGTTTCATAATATGAATCATAAGCTTTATTCCTCAATAGTTTGAACAATTTTGTATATCACATTTATTCTTATATAAAGGCACTAAAATATTCTTCCTCCGTTCTTTTGGCATCTTTTGAATATGCCAAATTTTATTTAAAAGATCTATTAAACATTCTATTCCTATTTCACCTAAGCATTTCAAAATTTCAATTGAGATTCCATCTGGTCCTATAGCTTTCTTCACTTTCATCCTTCTCAAAGCCTCTTTAAGCTCATACTTTTTAATATTATGTTTAAACACAATTTATATCATTAAAAGGTATGTTAAGCTCACATATATCATATTCAAAATTACCACTAAAAAGATTATCAAAATAATCTCCCCACCACTTCTTAATCTTTACATTTTTTACTAATACTCTTTCGTCACACTTTTGATGCATCTTACACTATTTAGATCTTTACTCTTCTTACCCTTTATCTGAGCAATTTAAACAACTATTTCTCTCCATCTTTTATCTTTAGTTTTTTGTATAATTCCTAATGGGCCATAATATTTGAATCTCGAATAACCTTTTTGACTTTTTTTTTACTTGTCTTATGCTTCAAATAACTCGTCCTGTCCCTATTACTCTTTAAATTCTTATAACACTCATGTTTAGCTTTAATTGTCATTTTCGCATCCTTATTTTATCACTAAAATTTTTTTCCTAACGGTGTATAACCCTTAGATTTGCCAAGTGTCTTTCTAACAACCATTTGAATTCTAGTAGAAATTTTCTTTTACATCACTTCTACATCTTTATTAGGCTTCCGATTAACCTCTTTTACTAGTTTATCTCCAAAAGCTAACATTTTGTCCTCTTTCAAGTTTCATTACTTAATATATGATTTTATGACTCTGATGTATCCTTTTTTACCCTAAAAGATAAAAGATATTTAGAACTAGTAGTCTCTATTGTATTGTCACATTCTTACTCAATATAACATGTAATCCTTACAACTACTTCTATTCTCTTTATCATAAAAAAGAAATCAACTTTATTAGCGTTTAATCCACTTATAAAAGTCATCAAATGTGATTTTCCTTTCCTAAAATATGGATTTAATATAATTAGGTCAAATGTAGTAGTAAACTTTAGAATAATCCTTGATTTTGTTTCTTTCTCCAAAGCCATATTTTCTATACACCTTTTCAAAGTCACTACAATACTTGCTTATTCAACCATTCATGTCTCCTCTAATAAATAATTTTTCTCCATTTGGTATGGCTTTCATTACCTCAACTAAATCTTTTTAAAATTTTTGCTTACTCATTTTATCTAAACCTATTTATGAGCATAAACACTAATGACATTAACGATTTTTTCTCCTAATATAAATTTAAAATGTAAAATTCTATCTCTATTTTTTTTAACCTTAACCACATCATCCTTTAAATTCTTTTCTACAATTATCTCTTCTTCATTTCTATTCTTTTCCTTACTTATGTATCAAAGCTTAGAGCCCTATATTTTTATCTCTCTAGCCTTTTTTCCTACTTATTTAGTTTTTTGAAAATACATAACAGTAATTCTTCTCCTACTTATGATCTCTCCTATCTTTACTAATTTATCAGTTAATGATCCTATATTTTCAAGTAGCTAAATATAACTTATTGTCATGAACTAGTTTTTTTACTCATGTTTGTTTATTAAAACAATAGAACCCTTATATAATTGACACCATATTCAAGCAGCAATATGGTGTGTTATTTTTGGACAATGGCTTAACAACCTTTGCCCATTTAACACTACACCCAAATTTTGATGTAACGCGAACAAATCTTATTTTGATATCTTATTATGGTTTGATTATATTTTCGCTAACCGTCATCCTATCACAACCTTATTTGCTTTATATGAGCTTGAGACCAATAGCATATAAATGAAGTTATTTTTTTATAATAATACTAAATACTTAAAATTTTAAATATATAATTTTTTATTATATTTTTAAAAATATTTTTATAGTAATAACAATATTAAATTAAATCATAATATAATTTTTAAGTTGAAAATAAAGTTTTGTTAATGAATGTTAATGCCACTCTTTTCAGCAAATTAATTATTATTTTAATATAACAATAATTTTATAAGTAATAATTTAATTGATTTTAAAAAATATTTTTAAGACACATGTTAACAAAATCCTTAATATTCGCGTTTCATTTAAAAACTAAATAAAAAAAATTATTTTGAAATGGATTCAATTTTAACTTGTAAGTGTCATTATTTTTTAATTAATTGATATATTATCAAAATTAATTTTTAAAAATTTTGGGATCCATATAATTTATGTGATTCATATTTTTTCAACTAAGTAAATATAAAAATTCATAAGTTGGTTACAAATTAAAAAACAAAAAGTTGTAACCAATGACTACCGACCCAACAGCAATAGCAATTGGAGTTGGAATTACCACCGCCTTTCCCCGAAAACTGACAAAACCCAACTTGGTAAGTTATCTCTTTCTTTTTCTTTCGGAAATTCGGAAACTTCAAAGGTTCCTTCCATTATTTGAACCTTTATCACACCTTTTTCACGCGAGGTTTATCTTTGTTCGCCGTCACGCTTAATCAATATCAAAAACAGCTTTCGCCACCTCTGCCAACACCCCCCCCCCCCCTCCAACCCCCCTTCTCAATTTCCAATTTGCATGTTTTATCAATCTTGTCCCTAAATTTCCATACCAATTTTCTCAATCTCCAAATTTCAAGTTTCAATTTTTTTGATTTCATCCATCGCCACAACTGCCTCTTGATAAAATTCCCTAATTCTCTTCCGGTTTCGAAACTTCTCTCAAATTAGGGTTCTCAAGCTTTGATCCAAATTTACGAAAATTCCATCAACAAAACCCTAATTCACTTCCTACCCATTTCAATTCCAATCAAAACAAGAAATACCCATTTCCTCGATTTCTAATAAAACAATCGCCTTAAAAAATCTCACTCACCCTTCCCAAAAACCCCTCCTGATTTTCATTCCCAATCAACCCAAAAGAATTGTAAAAATTCACCAATTACCCATTTCATTTTCGTTGTCAACCAAAATAACAATACCCAGATCGTCAAAATCTCAAATTTATCCTTCCACAGTTGATGGGCACAATTAGCTTTCACAGAGAACTCCCTAAACCTTCAACTTCTTCTTCTCCTACTTCTTCTTCAACCTCCTCGACGTCTCGAACCGAGACGGTGAATGGGTCCCACCAGTTCAAGATCAAGGGCTACTCCCTTGCCAAGGGCATGGGAGTGGGCAAATACATAGCTTCAGATACTTTTATGGTGGGCGGCTATGAATGGGCCATTTATTTTTACCCGGATGGCAAGAGTGCTGAAGATAATGCTTCCTATGTTTCGCTTTTTATTGCTCTGGCTAGTGAAGGAACCGATGTAAGAGCGCTTTTTGAGTTGACCCTTTTGGACCAGAGTGGGAAAGGTCATCACAAAGTGCATAGCCATTTTGGGAGGATGCTTGAGAGCGGGCCATATACACTTAAGTATCGTGGGAGCATGTGGTGAGTTTTTTATGTTTCTTCTACGTTTTACAACTACTTTTATTGCCTTTTTCTTGGATTGAATTTCTGACTTGATAGTTAGAATTGAGAACGGAAAATTAGAAGTAGATAATTATTGTTGAAATGTTCATTTGGGTTGAGTTACTTGCTTTCTTGGTTACATTCTAGAACGAGAGTTATGGAAGTTCGATGTCAATTTATGGGTTTTCTTGGGAAATCAAATGAGTACGTGCTGAGATTTTTTTCTGTTTCTTTGCATTGTGAAACTACTTTTATTGTTTTTATTTTTGTGTTGAAAGCCAGATATTCGAAATGGAAACTGGAAATAGATGATTGGTGTTATTTGAAATGAAGTTACGCAAGATTTAGAAATTGACATTGAACTTTTATGGTTTGCTTCACATATAGGATGGTATAATAACAAATAAATTTATGTACCCTTTGGTTGTTATACTTCATGGAAAGTGATTGTGCATTTGGATACAAAAGAAAATACTAGTACTTTCAAAGAATCAAAATGCATGAGTGATGTGTTTTTACCCCTTTTTATTCACCTTTTTTCAGCAATTTTATCTTATAGGGTTTCCTGCTGGTTTCTTTCATCAATATTAGAATCTATGTAACATTAGATCTGCAGGTTAAAACTCATTAATTTTTAAATGCACATTGGTCTTTGCTAAAACCACTGATATGTTCATTAATCAAATGTTTATCAGTGCGTTCACCTGTTAATGGCCTGATGTCTGATTGATTCTGCAGTGTGGGAAATTTATGGAAATTCTTTGCTGAACCAGTAAAAAATCTATAATCAAACTGTCTTTTTCTATCTTGTTATTATGGTCTATGCTAGGAACTCTGTAGTTAATATTAATGCCTCTTCAGTATCATTTTGTGTGAAAACATCATTAAATGGCTGCCATGTTCTGTGTTGCAGGGGTTATAAACGCTTTTTCAAAAGAACTCTTCTGGAGACATCAGACTACCTTAAAGATGATTGCCTCTCAATTAGCTGTTGTGTTGGTGTAGTTAAGTCACATACAGAGGGACCTAAAATTTATTCCATTTTGGTGCCACCTTCTGATCTTGGTCATCATTTTGGGAGGCTATTAGAAAGTGGAAAGGGAGCTGATGTGAAATTTGAAGTTGAAGGGGAAATATTTGATGCCCACAAGTTGGTTCTCGCAGCTCGTTCACCTGTATTCAGGGCACAACTTTTTGGTCCATTGAAGGATCGAAACACACAATGCATTAGAGTAGAAGATATGGAAGCCCCTGTTTTCAAGGTTCTCCCCCTCTCTTGGCCTAGTCTTATTTTCACATTTTTCCTTTCATCCCTGTTATCTGGCCTATTGAGCAAGCTCATAATATTACTCAAAACTAGATCTAATTTTCAACAATACCAGATGCTTAGGATTTTATAGGTATCGAAGCTCCACTTAGCTCTGTTCCTTGAGATAATTTTGCTTCTGTACATTTGCCTTTCATTCTTCTGTTTTCTATGTTTTGAATTAAGGTGTTGAAGAGGTTACTGTTCTCTAGCTCTTTTGGTAGCTCTGTGATGGTAAATAAATATCAAGTTAGATTTGAATGTAAATGAAGGATATGATTAATATCAGCACCTAATATGCAACCAAAAAAAAAAGAAAGAGTTTTTGCAAGATTTTTTTTTAACTCGGCTACTTTTGTCTGTATTTTCATCAAACGTTTCTAGTTACTACAAAATTTATATGTAGATGGTAAGGTTAAGGCACATTAAAATGCTCTTAGGTGCCATTGCTAGTGAGTTCTTAATAGAGTTCCCCGTAAACTTGTACGTCAAAGTTAAGCTTTATGAACTTCATTTTCTTCAGCACAAACTGAATGGTAATTGGTATCAAGAAAGAGAAGGCTGTTTTTGTTGGTGTTAATGTCTTAATGTGAATTGTGCTTGAGGGAATAGTTTTATGGTATTTTCTTTTCTGGTTCAGGGATTGTGATCCCGGGTGAGATTTGTCTTTCTGTTGGCATATCATAAATCTCAATGCTATGTTAAGTGTTTTGACAAAATTTCTCAGCTGTCTGCAGAAGTGCTTCAGCTAGATGCATTGAGGATGGTGCCTTTGGATGAGTAAATCCAGCTGTTTCTCTTGTAACATCAGCATCAAATGTCCTAAGTGTTAGATATTTCCTCTGCATTAATATCTATTTTAATTCCTAAATGCTGCTTAGCGTGCATGGTAGTGGATAAAATGCAATGAAACATATTTTAGTAACTGTGAAACTTTATACAGATGACATCATGCGTTTTACTTGGGTGAACATGGAGTTGGAATACTGAAGCTGATTTCATCAGCAGGTCCATGCTATGAGATTCTTGGCTCTGCTTACCTGTTGCCTTATCATGAATCAATATTTTAACTTTTTTTGTTTTGATTAAACACATTAACGTAGCATTTTCCGTTCTTTTAGATTTTTCTAGGCATAAAACCTGCAGTCTTTTGTGAGGATTCCCAAGGTGACTTCGTAAGCTTTCTTGAATATAACTTATTACCATGGTTGGATGTTTGCAGACATTGCTCCATTTCATTTACTGGGATGCCCTACCAGACATGGAAGAGCTTGTGGGTTCAACCTCTAAATGTTTTTCTACACACGTGGCTCAGCATCTGCTTGCAGCTGCTGACCGTTATGCACTTGAGAGATTAAGATTGCTCTGCGAGGCCAAACTTTGTGAGGGTGTTGCAATAAACACAGTTGCAACTACATTAGCCTTGGCAGAACAGCACAACTGTTTGCATTTGAAAGCTGTATGTCTAAAATTCATTGCATTGCCGGAAAATTTAAAAGGTAGGACTGTGAAATCGATTCTATTTTAGATTCACTAATAATATGCTTGGAGAATGTCTCTTCATAATCGGAACGCACAATAATTTCACCTCATTATGCCATATGCTAATTTTACCCTCTAAGCTACTTTCCACAGTGCATTATTCCCCAATATATGGAGCAGCATCACATTGCTTTTTAGTGAATAAAAACGAATCCCTTTGGCGTACAATTTTAACTGTTAAATGTGAAGTAGGTAAATATGGCTGCGTCACTGCTGCACTTCTATCAGGCTTTGTTTGATAGAAAGCATGGAAAGGAGTAAAGATGAAAATTTTTTTAATCCAATGGCAACCACTTTCTTATTTTGTAACTTAACCATTGGATTAACAATCTTTCCATCCTTAGCTCTTTTCATCTATCCTAGCACATGAAGCCTTAATGTGCAGAATGAGATTGATGTTCTGGATTGCATAGATCTTGAATTCCTTGCGACCTATTGAGTTTATCTCCAAAAAGAGGAACCCTTTTTAATTTATTTTTATATTTTCTTAAGAGATTGTAAGGAATGACAAACTTGTTGCATTGATTTCAGCTGTGATGCAAACGGATGGATTTGATTATCTGAAGGAAAGCTGTCCTGGTGTTCTTACTGAACTGCTGCAATATGTTGCGAGAATCGGGGAGCATTCTGTTATTGCTTGTGGATATGGAAAAGAAACATCGTTAGATGGTTGTGATGTTAATGACCGGCGGGTGAAACCAAGACTACAGTGATTTAGGGAATAACATATAGCTCAGCCGTTTTTTTTTTTTTTTTTTCGGAAATGAACATATAGCTCATCCTATGATCAGTAAGAAAACTAATAAAAGTGAGCTTAGATAGCATCAGGCATTTTTGGGTTGTACTAATATTGATTACTTATGAAAAATTTAAGCTCAATGGCTGATTTGTTTGTCATTCAGTTTTTTGAGTTTGTACAAGATTAGATGCCATAATTCATGCTTTTATGCAGATTCAGATCAATGTGGAGTAGGTCTTATGGAGGAACTCATTGGGAAGATTAACTAAGAATCTAAGATCAAATAATAAGCCCCACTATGATTGGCACATGAGATTAGTGTTTGAGGGATTTGAGACATACCCTAAACGAGCTGAACGGAATAACATATAATCCCGTATAAATATGTTCGACTTCATTTATGATTTGCTTATTGTAAATGTATACTTTTCCTGTCATTAATGGTAGCACACAAAAAAAATACCCGAGCTTCTTTACTCTTTTGTCATTAGAAGTGCACAACTATGGAATTATGTGCCGGTATCACAACATACCAAGAAACAGGCACCCCTTCATTTCTAACACACACAACGCTGTTTAATATAAATACATGTAAAACACGAACCGTAATTGTGTCGACGCATTAAACACTAAATATTTATACATATATATATATATATATTTTATGTTTACCAAACCTATATAAGATTTTTTTATCAATTTTAAACTATTACTTTCATATTTTTTTTCTATATTTTTATGTCAGTGTTATCTCGAGTGTTAATTGACAGGTCTTTCTAAAAGCAATTGTAACAGTGTAATAGGGTTTGCAACACGAACAGAAGCAATGTAGGTTTCTGCTTCAAGACCAAATATTAGATAACAATCAACTTATTTTCTTAATCAAAACGCTTGTTTAAGTTAAAAAGGAAATAAATAACAGCCCTTACTTTAGGTACAACAGGGTAAGCAGAAGGATATAACAATAAAATCATCATAATTGAAAGCCAAGTTTGAGGGCTAAGGGTGTTACATTCACTTTATAAAGAATGAGAACATAAGTAGAACTACTTCATGAGTTACAAAGTTCACTTTGCCTTTTCCTCGATTGTGTGACTTCACAAATCTTATATCGTCCCTGACCAGGATCACAAAACCATGAGGTGAAGGATAGTAGCCACTGTTTAACCTATCTTTCAAATTAGTTCTTTAAATTACAACTCATAGCTATACTTGTAGTTTGTCTGATCTTCTTTAACCAGCTCTGCTGGAGAAAGGATGATATCACTTCACCCGATGACTCCCAACTGTCAGAACACCAATTCGGGATTAAATTCTGACCAGTATTTGGTTAGCCGTTGGCAGTTGATATTTAGGTCAATACCACTGACTTCCAGATCCACCTTGTGCAGCAGCAACTTTCCTAGCCATGTACTGGGGTTTTGGCTGCAATCCATTTGAACCTTCAACTACTTCATCTTCTCCCCTATCATTTTTACAGACTGGATTTCTTCGTGGATATGAACAGTTTGAGGCAGTATATTGATTTGGAACTGTTGGATTCCTAACCATTCTTCGTTGTTCAAGAGTCTCAGCCGCTGCAGCTGCCCCACAATTGTTGTAACGCAATACAGATCCAACTACTTTCCCAGGTCTGGCACCACCTGCTGCATTCATTATGATGAAGTTGGTAGTGTAAAATAGTACAAGATAAGTTACTAGGAGCAGATGCAGTGTTTGGGAGATGGAACAGTAAAGAGATGAGCAGTTTATATAGACTTTAAAGTCCATGGCAGCAGCACCCAGTAAATTAGTAGGATATTTACTTTCTTTCCATCGGGTCATTTTAATGCATGAAATTGTACATGCATAATAAACAAAATAATGCCTTAAATGTTACATGTTAGAGTTGTAACAATCATACTTCTGTCACAACTTTATGCTGGGTCTTTTTAAAAAAAAAAAAAAATCCTTTTGTCCTACAAGTTAAACAAATTAAGCATTAATAAAACACCAATGAATTAGGATAAAAGAAACTTTCAGTTAAAGATAACATGCTCATAACCCCTGGTCTGTATGACCTCAAAGAAATACACCACCTTACACTTGCCAGACAAATGAAATCCATTTGGAACATCAAATATTAAACACATTAAGGTCTTGAACACAACTACATTACACATTTAAAATCAAATTATTCATCCATATTACTTTGCTATGTTAAAGTGAAAAATTAATGCAGAAGCTATTTCTATCCAGAGATTTAGATGAAATAAAGATAAGAAGGCCTCTAAAATCAGATGCATGATAGTTCTTGTAACCATTTACCAGCATCAGTGAGACACAAGCATACAAATAAATACAGAGGGAGAGATATTAACTTAGAGAAAAAGAACAATAATAAATTAGGGGAATGATAACACCAATCTATATCTATTGAGAAAAAACATCCATACCTTGGATGCTTTGAGGAACTTGAAGGGGAAGCCTTGACATAGGGATCCCACAGCTTCTCTCTGTTGGGGGTCTCTCAGTCTCCTTGATGGAACATTTAGATAAGTTATCTGTCACATCTGTTGAGTTTTGCAATGAATTATCTGAATATAATACACATGGCCTGCACACATTTTCATCAGGGTACCGGTCAGCATAAAAAAATGGTGAAAATGTATATTTTACTTCCTATGAAGATTATAGCTTTGGATGGATTGGTTTCAATGGGTGTTCATTTTACTTCTTATAATGGGCTTGTGTATTTTCTCCTATTAATAAAATTATCTCGCCTTCCAAAAAAAAAATGGTGAAAATGTATAATTTTTAGCACCTGGGAGGCAACCCAGGATATGTTCAGCAGCATCTCAAATTAATTGATAACAGTACCTTGGCAAAGATGCATGCTGTCTCTCAGGTGGAGCTGCAGTTGTACCATTTCCATAGTGCTCCTCGAGGAAAGCAAACTGCTTCTTGAAATGGTCAACCGCACTGCATTCAGAAACACACGAGTAACAGCCTATTCAGTTAGGAGATTCAGAATTTTATAACATCATATCTTTTGACCTAGATGCGTAAAACCAACACAGCACTGGCAGAGTCTCCTATTTCAGTTAAAATCTGATGTCTAGCCTTCAAGCACAGCTCAAATTTACAGGAATATTTACAGAAGGAGGTATTTCAAAGGCAGGAAACTTATTTTGATTCTGGGATATGGCTGGCATACTTACAGCTTCATCCAAATGAGTGGAATCAGCTATCATCAATGGAGGTTTCGTATTCATTTCATGCCTATAATGGCTACAGTTCTATTTGGAAGAAAAATCAACAACCTACCATAGATGAGCACCAAATGTCAAAGGCAGAAGTCTATTGATTCCAGACTTGGATGGCACAAACATATAGCTTCATATCAACAAGTCAAATCAGCAAACCATTAATGAAGGTTCTTTAATCATTTCATGCCTATAATGGCTAAAGTTCTCTTTTAAAGAGAATCCACATCAAGCAACAAAAATCTCTTAAAACTAAAGGACAAGGGAAAGACCGCATTCATAGTAGAACAAATAAATTATGGCTGGTTGGAAAAAATGTCAAGGATAGAACCCAAAAACGAATAACGGTTTGATATGATGACATGTAGTCAAAGATGCCAGAAAAATAATTGTTAATTTAGAACAATACCTTGGATACATGAAGCCAGTTGGCTCTGATCCTTCCAAATACTCTTTCAACATTTTAGGATGGTACTCAAGAATTTCACGATATATGAGCTCCCTAACATCTTCCTTTGTAATCCTACGTCTCTCAAACTCAAATTCCATCTTGGTAACTGGTTGAGCAGAAGGCTCCCTTTCAACTTTGGCCAAGCCCTTAAAATATGCATCAGCAAGGGCCTACCAGCAAGGAACAAAATATCCGTGTTAGCAGGAGATTATACATTGTAAAAAAAGTAGATGAAAAGTAACAAACATAGACCTCTTCAGCAGTAGGTCGATCCTTGTGTTCAAATGCAAGCATCCTTTCTAACAAACGAAGTGCAAGAGGATCTGCATTAGGGAACTTCTGGGAGAAAGGAATGGGCTTTTTCTTTCGCATGCTGCTCAAGTATCTCCGAGCCTTCTCATTACGTACCTGCTCAGATGATATCCATATTTTGGCTTAACATGGAACACCATAAACAAATGCAAATGGTTGTTAACATACCCTAGAAATGGCTTCAGCAGATGGCGTTCCCAAAAGATCAGTCATCAGATCCAATTGATGGACAACATTTTTTCCAGGAAACAGAGGTTTCCCTGTTAAAAGTTCGGCAAAGATGCAACCAATGCTCCATATATCTATTGCTGGGGTATACTGAAAACAAGAAAAAAAAATGTAAAACTAGAGGTGAACATAAAAGTTCAGACACATTTAAAGAAAACAAAACACCATTTAATGGTAATAGACACTAGAAATGTGCAACTAGAGAAATAAAATAAGAGGAAAAACTTCCTATAGCCAGAGCATCTGCAGAGGCCAACTACTGCTTGTTGCACAAAGAATAAAAAACATTAAAACCATAGCTTCGGCAAAAGTGAGTGGTCAGACTGCCAAATTGTGCTTCCATGGGAAACAGACAAACACATTCAATGATGTATTCACGAGAAAGACTACATATTCCTTTTATAAAATCAATTGAATAAAGTCAGATACAGGAATTAAAGTTGTGGTCGCAGCCACGTTTTTGGTCACGTCGCATTTATTGCGGTTGTGAATGTAACGGATAAAATAGCAGTAGTTGTGCTAATTGTGGTCGTGATTTTTTTTCTATTTTACACAACTTATTATAAATGAACTAAATAATTATTATAATCATAATAACATTTATTTATGATACTTAAAGTAATTTATCACATTTTAATTCTTTCATTTATATGTTAAAATAAAATTTTTAGTTACAACTCATAAATTAATAAGTATATCTAACATGTTCATTAATATATTCATGAATTTTATAGACATGAATGTTATAAATACATATTTAATCTTATTAGGAAGAATGATGATGAACATTAAAATTTTCTTTTATAAGATATGATTATTGGGGTAAGTGATTAAAATATAATTCCTTGAACATAGGTACTTGTATTATACCATTAAATCAAATACACAAGTGTAACATTTTAAATAATTAATTAACAAAAATAATGTAATAGTTAGCAACATAACGATAACCAAACTTATAAAAAAAAATTCAATTAACAAAAACGTTAATAAAATCAAAATTATATAACAAATTTAATTCTTTTAAATTAAATGATAATACATATATTAAGCTATAAAAAAGATTAAATTAACTAATTAAGACCTAACATCCTTCTTAAAATTTCATCTAAATCACTAAAAATTTCCCCGATATCCATTTCCCATCCATAATTACTTTTCCCTCCAATCATTTCACCTAAACCCAAAAATAATAATAATAATAATAAATTTTAATCTTTAAAACCACGTGACATCAGTATTAGCCTTCACTTTGTAAACCAAATTCTCAGTAAATTCCAAACCCGTTTTCTTCTCTTCTCGCCACAAGTAGAGCATGATCTTCAGCCTTCCAAATCCCCATCCCATTTTCCTCTGTTTCTCGTTCCTCCTTGCAACAGATTCATCAAACACAACCAACCACACTTATGTCTTGCTCAGATCCTCATTGCCTCTCCTTCAAGAGATTTTAAATTGACATGTCTCATTCATCTATCCCTCTCAAGAGTCAAATTTGGTGAAGATAACACAGAGCACAGCCTAAAGTTGATGGGTATGAAGGCTATATGAGAGCTGTTTCTTCAAACCATCCACAACTCAAATTTTAAAAAATGGGTACTTGTTTTTTTACCATGAATTAATTTCTTATTTTACTTGGATAGAGGCTTAAATTTGTTGGATTTAGATTTAATTGTTTGAAGTTAGGGTCGGTTTTCCTCTCTAGTTTGATTTTGTTTATTGAGTGATTTGATTAGGAAAATATGAAAAGCGGCTTTAACGTCCCATTAAAACCAGTATCGGCTGTTATGCCGCTATTTGTGGCCCCAAAGCTCCACTATGAGTTTGATTGCCATTCACAACCCCATTGTGGGTAAATAGCGGTGGCAGAGGATGCCGCTATCTCTAAATAGCAGCCGTTACACTGCAACGCCGATGCTATTTGAAACCCTGGTGAGATATGCACATCGTAGATTTATCTATAATGTGCTTTCTTGCCAGCTGCATGAGATATTAACAAGAGAATTGCTCATCTTACAAATAAGAGGTGCTAAACCCTAATTCCATATGTGGCAACCATACAAATTAAACTGAACAATGCAAAGCAGGTTTTTTTTCTTTGGTGAGGGGAAGGGAGAGAGAGAGGAAAGTGAACACCCTTGTAACAAATGAAATCAAAATCCCACATCAACCAACAAGAATAAAGATAAAAGAGAGAGACAAGATCAAGCTACTTTCAATCAAAATTTTCGCACCTTTGAGAAAAAGGATCCACACAATTCAGGAGCCCTATACCATCTTGTTGCAACATAGTCCTGAAAAGAAAGCAGTAGAAAATATTCCATTTTGAACCAAGAAACAAACTTCTGCAAATTATATATAAACCATTTCCTGAATGCAACATCATGTAAAGAGAACTTACTGTCCAGAATATCGCAGTCGGAGTATCATTAAAAGCTACTCTTGCAAGACCAAAGTCACAGATCTTCAGTTTGCAATCAGCATTAGCTAAGATATTTTTGGGCTTTAGATCCCGGTGAAAAACATTTGCTACAGGAACAAAAATGATTAAAAGAAGAATCATCAGAAATGAAACAATCAATTAGAACTTGAAATTGCATCAATATCTATGCACTTCAAAACATCATCTACTTTCAAACAAGTCAATCAATCAACAGTCTATAGTCGAAATTGTTACAAGAGAATAACCTGTGTGAATGTATTTCAGGCCTCGAAGAAGCTGATAAAGAAAAAACTGGTAGTGTTCTGGGGTCAAATCATCATTTGCTTTGATAACCTGGTGTAAATCAGATTCCATAAGTTCAAATACCACGTAGATATCTTTAAATTCCCTTCTCGAAGGAGGCAACAAGATGTGCTTGATCTCAACAATGTCTGGATGACGTAGGAGCCTGAGAAGTTTAATCTCTCGGAGGATCCGGGTGGCATCAGACACATGTTCAAATATATCATTTATTTTCTTAATTGCAACCTTTTCTCCAGTATGTGTGTCATACGCAGAACAAACAACACCATAGCTTCCTTTACCAATAACTTCCTCTATCCTATACCTGCTCCCCTCACCATATTCGGTGAAAAAATCTACATCCACAGCTGACTGCATAGTAAAGGCATTTTGTATTATCAATGTTACAACCAAGGTTTACATCTTATGAATAGCATGTTCCACATAAAATACAAGAAGACGAAGATTTTGTAATGTCCTATGCCAACACATTGGGACTACAACATACAAACATGATTGCTAACTCAATAGAGTAAGAGTACAATTCCACACACCTACACATTTGGCAATCAATTAAGGCCATATGGTAAAAACACTGCGTTATCACTTGTAAAAGTTCATAACTTTATCCCAAGTGAATCAAATACATGTATATTGCAATTATTACTCTATGTCCTATACCAAACACAATGACTAAGTCAAAAGTACAGAAAAAGAAAATCTAACGTCAGAAGCTTAGCCCTAGATAAAGTGAAACTGACACATTCAGACTGAGAATAATAAAAATTAATATAAAAATTATTTCAAAGAACAACAAAATTCCTCCCTTGCAAGAAATTTTATTTCTACACCAAGGACACTTCAAGAATTTACGAAAATCAGAAGCCAATAAATAATAAACAAAATGAAAACTATAACATATAATAGTGTTAGTCAACCTCCAGACCATTAAACCAAACAACCAACCACCACAAGTGCCAGCTACAACGTCAACAAGAATAACAGTAATCCTAAGCCACCTATAACATCCAAAATTAAAACAGAGACAAGCAACAATCTGTGTACAAGACAGGCATTGCTTTAGTGGAACATCCCATAAGGCTTAGAAGACGAAACATGAAACAGGACAAGCTGTTCCTTCCCATCCAGATACAGAGCTGTATCGGCAATCAAGACAGTACTCAATGCAACTTAAAATACAAAAATTACAAGGATCAAAAGGGACAGATTCATTGACCAATAATCCAAGCAAGCCTACTATTGTTTATTCCAATTAACTCAAAACAGGATATTCAAAAAAAAAAAAAAACGAAATCAAATCTCACGTCATTAGATCTTATATTTATACAAGTAAATATCAAAACTAAAGAAAAAAAGTTACCTTTCTTCTCTGATCAGGCTGCATCTTAGCATCAAAACATTGGAAAGAAAACAATTGGCATCTAACAGGGAACACCAAAACTAAGAGGAGAAAACAATTTCACTTTGCACTTAAAACCCAAGTCAAAAGATCACAAAAAATTAAAATTTCAGTAATGCCAAGATCAAATTCCTAAAAAAAAAAAAAAGAGAAAAATACCCAGATTTCAAAACTGTTCAAAAAAGGAAAAACTTTCACCAAAACAGCAAGATCAACAATCAAAACAACCTTATCAAAACCCCCAAAGAAATGGTTTGAGAGCAACAGTTCAAGTTCAAAAGAAACAGCCAACGTTAGCTAGTTCAAAATTTTGAGGCTAAAGTTAACAACTTTGCTAATAACATAGAATATAATTGAGAAACAAAAAACTCGATTTTTTTTCAAACACCATAAGGCCAAAAGATTTTGGCTTTTGGCGGATGAGCCTAAAAAATAATTGAGCTAGAAAAGGAGAGTCTCTTGGAGAATCTATAGAAGGCGATTAACACTATAAAAGCAAGAAAAAATAAATAAATTATTATGTTTGCAGAAGATGGATAAAGATTGGGTTTTTCTTTTTTATTTTGAAGAGAGGAATGAAAGGCTTTTTGGGTTTGTGGAAATGCTTTTGGATCTTATGTGAAACGGATAAAAAAAGGGACAGCTAGACAGATCAAAGAAGAGGAAATGGAAATCAAGGGTGGTGTGCTTCAAGTTGAAGACCTTCTGTATGAAAGAAAGTAAAGGGCCCAACTGGAATTATATAATTATAAAAATTTAAAGTGGAATTGAAAACGATAGCATAATCATTTTTGTATGAAATGACATTTTTGCCACTCAAACTTAGCTCATATTGTCAATTTGTTTTTGCAATAATTAATTTTTTTTAATTACTATGTTCCACTTTATTGAATATTGACTTGTTTTTGCTTAATTTTTCACCCAAAAATGAGCTTGTTAATAGCTAATGGTATGATTGATTGGGGTTCAGATAAGGTTGAAAAATATTTAACGGGCAAAATAATGGATATGAATCAATCTAGTTTTTTTTTTTTTTTTTTTTTTTTTTTTTTTAACAAAAAGGATCATTGAATGATTAGGGCCTTGAGATTTGGGATTTAAGATACTTATTATATGAATTTAATTTAATTTTATATTAAAATTTATTTAAATATATGTTTATTTGTTTGTTGGATAATTTGTTTATTTGATTTAAATAATTAATTTTTTATCTTAAATATAATATTAATTATAATTATAATTTTATTCTTTTTAATCACTTCTTAAAAATAACTAAATTGATTATCATACTCAATTTTTTGTTACAAAATGGCTTTTCAAGAAAAAAATTTTTGCAAATTTTTATATTTGTTTGACCAAAAATAAATTGTCAACAAAAATAATTATTTTTATATTTATTTAAAAAAAATAAATTATCAACAAAATATAACTTGATGATTAGTGAAAAATAAAATTTTTAAAAGGAGAAGACATTAAAAAACAAAAAAACTCTTCACTAGTCAACATATTCTTTCTTGGGAGTTTAGTTTTACTCAAATTCTCTTCTAGACATGATTCTCTAGATTCAGACTTAGCTTGATCCACATGAAATATTATTAAAATATTACTATAGAATGTCTTTTAATATTTTAATTTAAATATTATAAAATTAAATGTTTTTAATATTTTGATTATAAGTAGGATTATATTTTTATTTTAATATTAAATAAATATTAATATAGTTAAAAATATTTTGTATTTTAATAATAAATATTATTTAATTAGTATAACAATATTACTATGTTAATAATATGAATATTTTTAATCATATCTTAATATTTTAAAAATATTTAGTATTTTTAATATTTCCAAAATAAATGCTTTATATTACTATTTTAATAACAAATATATAAATAAATAACACTTTTTTGTGATTTAATAATAAAGTTTTTGAAATAAAATATTAATATTTTCAAAAATTATTGTTTAAATGTCAATTTTCGTAAAACAAATCGAATTAAAATCAAACTTTTTTTTTTTACAATTTTGATTGATTGTACTAGGAATTCAACTTAGGAGGACTTCAAATTTATGAGTTGTTTTACATCTTTTAATCATTATTTAAAAATAATAATACAATTAAAATAAAAAACAACTGAATTATAAAATTGTCTTTTCTTCTTAATTTGTATGAAATAAAATCCTCTTTATCCGAAACTTTATAATTTTTCGTTGAGTACATGAACAATATTAACTTAATCATAATTATTTGATAAATTTATCTAGTATGTAATTTATTTAAGTTGATTAAATAAAATATAGTATGGGCTTTCACCAATAAAAAGGAAATGACTTGGTAAATAAATAAATAAATAAAAATAAACCAAAGGGTTTACCACAATTCAATTTTTAATATTGTTAATTTTTTATTATATGCTTATTAGATTGTTATTATTATTGTCTTTGTATTTTTATTTTGGATTAATTTTATAAATAGTCCTTAAATTATAATAAAATATTTAATATGTATCTAAATTTTAAAAATTTTTAATATAATATTTAAATTATAAATATATTAATCAATATGATATTCACATTTAATATAATTAGTTTAAGATAATCATTCACGATAGATAAATAATATTTTAAATATTATATTAATTAATAAATTTATAATTTAAATATTATATTTGATATTATATTAGAATTTAATTATTATTCATTATATTAATTTTTTTATTTTTATTACTATTTTTTCTTTTCCAAATCATTGCTATTGTTTTATGCATATTGTTTTAGTCGTTGTTGATATTGCAATTGCCATGTTAAGCTAGTCCCTAAGTAGGCCACGTGCTATGATTTTTGCCACCGCAATTGAACGAAATGATGCCTACAACTCAATGCCTGTCGTGATCGAAACAAAATTTATTTGATTGGTCCAAATAAATTAATCTTAATTTCCCCCGATCATTAGAATTTCTTTTTTACCATATGGTTTTGTATTATACCACGTAAAGAAAGGAATTATATTATTGTTTTGTACTCTATAAATTTTTATTTAAAAATTATCATAGATTGAAATTTAGTTGTTGAAATTAAAAATGCAATTTTTTATTAATAGATAAAAATGCAAATGAAAATAATATTCGGTAAATAAGTCATGAACAAACTTAATTTTTATTTAGTCATATATGTTTATTACATTTAACAAAGAATTGCAAATATATTTTAAGATTAATTACTTAAACCAATAGATTACAAATATAATAAAATATATTCATATTTGATTCATTTATAATATAAAAGTGTAAACGAAAAGAGTGTTCGATAAACAATTCGTGAATAAATTTGATTTTTATTCATTTATTTTTATTTATTAAACTTAACAAATTATTGCAAATAATATTTAAAATTCGTTAATTAAATGAACATATTTTGAACATAATAAATTTCATTTTTATTTAATTCTTTTACACTCCTACCAATAAATCATTTAATTGTTGACTTATAAATCTTATTTTCACTTTATAAAATAAGATCTCAATTGTATTAAAAGAAAAAAAAAAAAAGGAAATTCCATGTTAATCATCAAAATCTATAACTTTATATAATAAAAGTCCCTAATTGTCTATTGGGGTATACCTTAACAATGTAAATAAAATTGATTGGGTGGTTCTTTTGCAGTAAAAACAATATACTTTTATATGGTCAGCGATGTCTATTTGTTTACGTATGAAGGCCATGTGTATTTGTTTCATACTATTTGTTTATGTATGAAGGCCATATGTTTGATAACTTTCTTCATATATTTAAGAAACTGATGATAGAAGGGCATAAGAGAAAAGAAAGGAGGGAAGAGAGAGATGAGGAGAAAGAGAGAGAGAAATGAGCTAACTTTTTGAAATTCTCATCTTCCCTCGAAACTTCTATTTCTTTTTTTATTTTCCTCTGTTGGAATTGGAGATGGAGGGGATGGCAACAGCTATGATTTGGTTGTAATTAGGAAATAGAAAAAGCTTGAGGCATATGTCTTATCAATTCGCTATTAAGCATCGCTCCATTTTCTTCTATTTGGCATCATTTTACAGCTTAAATTTGGTAAATAGGTCATCTATTGACTTAATTCTGTTATTTCAAGTAAATAAAGGTTAGGTTTAAACTTGATAGGTTAGATGTGGTATTTTTTTAGTTCTTTTTTTTTTTTTTGAAGTTTTGACAACCAAAAAAAATGAAAAATAAAGAGAAAAAGAAAGAAAAAAGAAGAAGAAGAAATAGGGGTTTCTTTTCTGTGCTTCAAATTTTCTTTTTGGGTTTAGACTTCAATTCAAACTTTTTTTTTTGTTTTCTTTTTTACGGTTTTAGTTTGAAGTCAAAGTCTAAAATCTAAACAACATATGATAGTTTTCTTTGTAAATTGTTTCGAATAGATAATGTGGATTGAAAAAGTTGTTCGTTTCAAAAGATCGGGACCGCTTTAGTATTCTTATGGAATGAGACTAAATAAGGTTTTCTTTTCTGTGCTTTAATTTTTCTTTTTGGGTTTAGATTGCAATTTAAACCTTTTTTTAATTTTTTTTACGGTTTTAGTTTTAAACTTAGAAGTATGAAATCAAAATAGCATATGGTGGTTTTTTTTTTCTTTTTTGGGTTTTCTTCGTAAATTGTTTCAAATAGATAGCAGTGGATTAAAAAAGTTCTTTGTTTCAAAAGTCAAAGACTATTTGAGTATTTTTATAGAATAATACCAAAATATCTATGTCAAGGGCTAGATTAGGTGCATGCATCATAATCGGCATGGGTTTTGACATTGGTTATGAAAAAGAGACAGTATTGCTCTAATTTCTCGATCTCTTTCTAGGTATAGGAAGGTGTTCAAAACCTACATTTTGGGAACACCCATTCTTGTTTTTTTTTTTTCTTTCTTTATGTAAATTTTGTTAATTTTCATGCTTTAATTTTGATTTCTTTATCTTTAATCCAAATAGGAAACTTAGCATCTTTTGAGTGAACTAGGTAAGTACTTAAGTTTTTTTTTTTTTTTTCACATTTGATTTATTTTCTTTCTTTTTAAAAAGTTTTTGTTGAATTTTGCTTAGTATTGTTATTTTTGTTAAGCACTTTAAATGTTATGAGCATAAAAGAATTTAATTTTTGGGTTTGTTTCGAAAGCTATTTTGCTTATAACTTCAACTTGGATTTCATCGACCTTAGTAACATTCTAACTAGCCATGGAATTAAGTTACATTGAAGCTATTTTACTGACAGTAGTTCATGTGATACTATTGGATCATGGAACGATAGCTATCCAAGATGAGATTGCAGGATATAATGCATACTTAATAGTTATTACCATATTTGGTGGCATTGTTTTTTTCCCCTTTTATTTTTGAAGTAATACCCCTTTCTTAATATATAGTGTTTCAATAATCTATAATGATTTCTAGGGTCTAAAATTTTTAGAATTAAATATTTTCTTTTTTTTTTGTCTGAAACTGTCTTCGTAATCTATAATTTGGTGGTTGTGTTTCATTTACAATGAGCAATTATAGGTCCTTTAGTGATGATAGTGATCACTGCTTTGAAGAATTTTTATATTAAATTTGTTCTTGCTTTTACCGATGAAAATATTCACTAACCAAACTTGTGGTGAGAGTGGTTTGATTGATTGATATTTAGTTTTTAATCTTTGCATGATTGTATAACTAATTTTTCAATTTTCCCATGAATCATTTTTTT